GTACACAGTCTACAAAATGAAACAAAAGTTGAAAAGATGATGCTCGTCTTGGCGTATACTCAAGAATTTACTAATTCGGAACTGCTTAAACATGAAATGAAGTCACAAAACAAATGCGAATAGTCGCTGCTTGAATAGGCAGAGTTGCCCTTCATACAATTTACACATAGTCCCACAATGCCCAGATGATCTAAAGCATAATAAAAAAATATCATAAAGTTCACTATAAAAGAAATAACATAACTAATACTTTAAGCCATAGATTTTTATATGTAAAAAACACAGTACTAAAAGTTTACATACATAAAAAATGACAGGAACTATATTTATAGACAACCGATTACGAGCGACCAAACAGGTCACTTTTGAAAATCAGATCATTTCGTCTTTTTTTTTATTTAGTTCTTTGAGTCTCTCTTTTGCTTTTTTTCTGGACTTAATTATGCATGACATAACATCTTAACTTCATGTTTTAAAATATATACTTATGTATTGTGCATCAATGTGCCAATATGAAGTAAACGCCAATTAGACAGCAACCTAGCAACATACATAACCAAGGATATGTTCTTGGTTTGACTGTAAGCCAGATATACACGAGTTTCCTTCAACGAGACAGCATCTCAACGACAAACATATCTTTTAAAGAACTATGTCTTCAGCTACCGTTTGTTTTTTTCTTCAATTCTGTTTAAAACCTCTTGCTATATTCAATGTGAATAACAAAAAAACAAAAAACTCTCTATCAAACGAAAACTGTATAAAGTGAGAAAAAAGCTTTTGTCATTAGTACAAATTATTGCTTCATTACTTATTTCAGGGTTCGAACCCTAAACGTGGTAGCTTGGTTCGACTCCAAAACTATGTTTGTCAGTTTCCCAGCCGAAGGTCAGTGACTCTGTCCGGGCGCTCCAGCTTTCTTCATCATAAGCTGGACGCCATGAAATAGCAAAAAAATGATTAAAGTGGCGTTAAAGACCAACAATGAATAAATCAATCATTGTATATTTCAGACGTTTCACACACAGATCTTATTTTTGTTAAACAAGGCGATATTTATTTGAAATTGAATTTGACAATAGGAATTTTCCAGCATCGTATAATGATGAATCCGGATATGACTGTAATATGTGCCGCTGGACATTACTCTTCATCTTTGTAACATGGTAATACCTAAAAGAATCGAAGAATTTAAAGGAAATATCATTTTCAACATTTGTAAACTATTTTAGAGGAAAGCTAAAAATTTAGAAGATATCTTCTTAGGATTGAAAGGACAAAGCAACATAGAAGGGACCTATATTTGAAGGTTGGTGTGTCCATCATATTACATATGTGGCAACCTTTTGTTAAAGTCTTGTACCAATTTAAACTTTTACAAGTTATACAAGTTCCATTACTAACTTAACGTCGACACCCTATAATGTAAAATATCTATTTTGAATAGAAAAAGGTGTTTTCTTTGTTCGACGATTGCAAAATTTCTGAAAATGAATCGAACGGTCTTTATTCGAATGCAGCATTCCGTATCTTAGTAAACATGTCGTTGACAAGCAATACTCTGAACCACTGACAGTGTCGGTAAAGATTCCATGTGCAAAAATGACAAAACAGGGGTACAGAGTATTGTCCCTGCTAACCTGAAGTGTGCACGTTTCAGCTCTGGGGTTCCCAGTGAAGACATTTTTTTTCAGTTAAAACATTTGAGGTACACAGTCTACAAAATGAAACAAAAGTTGAAAAGATGATGCTCGTCTTGGCGTATACTCAAGAATTTACTAATTCGGAACTGCTTAAATATGAAATGAAGTCACAAAACAAATGCGAATAGTCGCTGCTTGAATAGGCAGAGTTGACCTTCATACAATTTACACATAGTCCCACAATGCCCAGATGATCTAAAGCATAATAATAAAATATCATAAAGTTCACTATAAAAGAAATAACATAACTAATACTTTAAGCCATAGATTTTTATATGTAAAAAACACAGTACTAAAAGTTTACATACATAAAAAATGACAGGAACTATATTTATAGGCAACCGATTACGAGCGACCAAACAGGTCACTTTTGAAAATCAGATCATTTCGTCTTTTTTTTTATTTAGTTCTTTGAGTCTCTCTTTTGCTTTTTTTCTGGACTTAATTATGCATGACATAACATCTTAACTTCATGTTTTAAAATATATACTTATGTATTGTGCATCAATGTGCCAATATGAAGTAAACGCCAATTAGACAGCAACCTAGCAACATACATAACCAAGGATATGTTCTTGGTTTGACTGTAAGCCAGATATACACGAGTTTCCTTCAACGAGACAGCATCTCAACGACAAACATGTCTTTTAAAGAACTATGCCTTCAGCTACCGTTTGTTGTTTTCTTCAATTCTGTTTAAAACCTCTTGCTATATTCAATGTGAATAACAAAAAAACAAAAAAACTCTCTATCAAACGAAAACTGCATAAAGTGAGAAAAAAGCTTCTGTCATTAGTACAAATTATTGCTTCATTACTTATTTCAGGGTTCGAACCCTAAACGTGGTAGCTTGGTTCGACTCCAAAACTATGTTTGTCAGTTTCCCAGCCGAAGGTCAGTGGCTCTGTCCGGGCGCTCCAGCTTTCTTCATCATAAGCTGATCGCCATGAAATAGCAAAAAAAATGATTAAAGTGGCGTTAAAGACCAACAATGAATAAATCAATCATTGCATATTTCAGACGTTTCACACACAGATCTTATTTTTGTTAAACAAGGCGGTATTTATTTGAAATTGAATTTGACAATAGGAATTTTCCTGCATCGTATAATGATGAATCCGGAAATGACTGTAATATGTGGCGCTGGACATTACTCTTCATCTTTGTAACATGGTAATACCTAAAAGAATCGAAGAATTTAAAGGAAATATTATTTTCAACATTTGTAAACTATTTTAGAGGAAAGCTAAAAATTTAGAAGATATCTTTTTAGGATTGAAAGGACAAAGCAACATAGAAGGGACCTATATTTGAAGGTTGGTGTGTCCATCATATTACATATGTGGCAACCTTTTGTTAAAGTCTTGTACCAATTTAAACTTTTACAAGTTATACAAGTTCCATTACTAACTTAACGTCGACACCTTATAATGTAAAATATCTATTTTGAATAGAAAAGGGTGTTTTCTATGTTCGACGATTGCAAAATTTCTGAAAATGAATCGAACGGTCTTTATTCGAATGCAGCATTCCGTATCTTAATAAACATGTCGTTGACAAGCAATACTCTGAACCACTGACAGTGTCGGTAAAGATTCCATGTGCAAAAATGACAAAACAGGGGTACAGAGTATTGTCCCTGCTAACCTGAAGTGTGCACGTTTCAGCTCTGGGGTTCCCAGTGAAGACATTTTTTTTCAGTTAAAACATTTGAGGTACATAGTCTACAAAATGAAACAAAAGTTGAAAAGATGATGCTCGTCTTGGCGTATACTCAAGAATTTACTAATTCGGAACTGCTTAAATATGAAATGAAGTCACAAAACAAATGCGAATAGTCGCTGCTTGAATAGGCAGAGTTGACCTTCATACAATTTACACATAGTCCCACAATGCCCAGATGATCTAAAGCATAATAATAAAATATCATAAAGTTCACTATAAAAGAAATAACATAACTAATACTTTAAGCCATAGATTTTTATATGTAAAAAACACAGTACTAAAAGTTTACATACATAAAAAATGACAGGAACTATATTTAGGGGAAATTGGGGTAAGTGGACACGTGGGGTAAGTGGTCAGCGTGTTAGTTATTTCCGGTGGCTGTGTTAATGCGAGTTGTCTCCCGTCGGACACGTAGATGATCAACACAACGGACAAAGTCAACGAAAAGTTAAAAGGTAAGTTGAAGGTCAATGCACCGTATCAGTAAATATTCATGCATTTTTTTTTTGCTGGTTGCGATAATGGAAGAGAGAGATAATTAGTATCTCTATGAATCATACATTTGTTTTGATGACAAAACACACAGAAATCTGTCCCGTTCGGCGACAAACGTTCGTGAATGCATACTTGAGATTCTCAAAACGACAAATATGCCTTGAAATGAGACTTTCAATGATGCCTTTGATAGTACAATGACATAAAAAAACACAAACCTAGCTGAATGAAAACATTCTGCTTCTGTAATATGGCGGCGTACATGTCGTATACCTGCCGAATATGTACGTTCTCAAAATTGTCTTTTACAATGAATGTTTGTGGGATTCCGTTGAAAATAACTTGACTTGATCTAACTTGGATATCAAGGATTATGATTCAAACCCAAAGAATTATTTATCTTTGCGGAAAATTGCTGCTTTGAGTGAAACAGAAAAAGCGGTGCCGTGTTGCAAGTAGCTTGCAATATGACGTCATATAGCATTCATTAAAAAAAGCAGAAGTTTGCATAAAAAATATCCTAAAGCAGACCAGTGCTCACAAACCCCCTATAAGCTTAGTTATAATTCAATAGCCACAAGAAATGCATCATTATAAAATGTATCACATTAAATGGTCTACAAGGAATAAATTTGTTTTCGTTTCTTGAAAAACACGATAACAACCGAGGTGTCCACTAACCCCATTACCATGGGGAAAGTGGACAACTCGTATTGTTAACAAAATAAACATACTTGGTATGTGTCTTTAATTTTCTATTGTTTTGTGTTGTGCATCAAAATTTATGAAAACTAGCAAAAAGATTAAAAAAGGTTTCCCAGAGGATTTTTAGGTAAATATATGAACAAATCCAAAAGAAAAAAAGGGGGGTCAATAACATGTTGAATTGGATACATCTCATAGAGCTCGAGAATCTGATAAAAATACTAGCCAACGTCTGTAAACAATATTTGTTTCCCGCAATCTTCTTGGTTTTAAGTCTGTATATCGACGCCAGTCTCAGTTCTTAAATATATAGCGTATTAAACACTCATATAAAGCAATACAACCTACATCTTTTTTATTTCAGCAAAATGGCCAGAAAGAAAAAAGGGTGGACTCCAAAGCAAGGAAAGTGGTCAAAAGAGGGTCTGAAAGAAGCGGTTCGCCATGTAAAGAGTGGGGGCATGTCTAAATTAAAAGCATCAAAGATGTATAATATACCAAGAACAACAATAATTCGGAGACTGAACACTATGGATCTGGATTCACCAGCAACAAAACCCACAGTACTTGCCATAAAGGATGAAGAAGCTCTGGTCGGGCATATACTAAGAATGGAGGAAAGAGGGTTTGGTTTAACCATCACAGATGTTCGAAAGCTAGCCTACGAGATAGCCGTGAGGTCGGTGAGAAAGCATTGTTTTAACAATGATAAGAAAAGTGCCGGTTATGATTGGTGGCAAGGGTTTAGAGATCGACATCCATGTTTATCTGTACGCATACCAGAGGGTCTTAGCGCAGCACGAAGTTCAATGCTGAATCCAAATGTCATTTCAGCTTACTTTCAAAAGCTTGGAAGTTTCATGGATAAACTGAACATTAAGGAAAAGCCCCAGCAAATTTTTAATGCGGATGAGACTGGCTTGAGTACCGTACATGATCCATCAAAGATTGTCGGTAAAAGAGGCAAAAAGAGTGTGCATTCCAAAACAAGCGGAGAACGCGGCGAAAATGTAACCGCGTTATGACGTGTGAACGCAGAGGCAAGAGTTCTACCACCAATGCTCATCTTTAAGGGACAAAGAGTAAGCCAAGCATTGATGGGCAATGCACCAGCAAACACATTATTTGCATGCAGTAAGAGTTCATTTATTGATTCAGATTTATTCAATAATTGGTTTCAAAAGCTGTTTATACCTAATCTTCCTCCTCAGAGACCTGTTCTGCTCATACTGGATGGACATTCTTCACACATAACAATGGATCAGATAGAAATGTTCTGTCTTCCTCCCCATACAACGCACTGGACACAGCCACTCGATAGAAGCGTATTTGGACCGCTGAAAAGGTCGTACAATCTATGCTGTGAGGTATTTCTTAGGCAGAATCCAGGGAGAATAGTCACGCGCTACGATTTTTGTGGCTTATTCAAGCAAGCCTTTACTGAAAAAATGAATCTAGTCAATATATTCGGTGGGTTCAGAGCTACTGAGATATTTCCATTTAAACCGAATGCTATCCCAATAGAGGCATATGGACCATCAAAGACGTCTGTGCTCGATGTCGAGGTTGAAGCATCAACAGAGAATGGCAATGAGGTTAGCAATGAGCAGAACCAGTCGCGAGTAACTACAACCGCCAATGAAGAGCAACATGTCTCTGCCGCAAGTTCCATCAACAACATCTGAAGGAAACTATTTGAGGGAAATTCTAAGAACCCCTGAAGTCGTCAAAGAAAGAACGAAGAAAAAGACCAGACGAGTAACTGAGGCTAGATGTCTGACAGAAAGAGAATTTTTAAATGAACTGAAACGAAAAGAAGAAGAGAAAAACAGAGTTCAAGAGGGAAAAGATCAAAGGAAAAGGAAGAGGGAGGAAAAGAAGAAGACGAAAGAACTTGAACAAACATTGAAGAAGAGCAGTAAGGCAAAGAAGAACACAAAGAAGTGTTTGGCTAAAAACAAAGAGAATGACAGGTCATTGGCTAAAGACCAGTCTGACTCCTGCTGTACTTATTGTAACGGGAACTACATGGATGACGACTCTGACGATGAAGACTGGGTTAAATGTACGAGATGTAGCGATTGGTATCATGAGTCGTGTACTGGAAAGTTTGGGCATGAACTTTCACACTAAGTGTGTAACAAACATTGACATGTTTCAAAATATGACCAATTATTATAGTGGGTTGTGTTGTCAATAGTTTGCTGAACTATCATGATCATTAAATATGTCATTTCCTCTTTATATCACTGACTATTAATTTAGAGATTTACCAAATCAAAAAAATCACAAAAAGAAGTGTTGACAACCGAAGCACTATTGAAAAAAAATGGCAATCCATGGATAACAGATAAACCCGGGAACAAATAAGACAAGACACACAAGGACAAACAACAACATATAACATCGAAAGCTAAATAAAAATGAGAAACACGGACCCGAAAAAAAAAAACTTAGGCGACTTCAGGTGCTCCAGAAGGGTAAGCAGCCAGGTCATACCCCAAACCAAACAATAGGCTTTAAATTCCCCCTTATAACTATACATCATGTATATTTGCAAGATTGATTGATTGACATCTAGTTACAAACGTGTCATGCACAATCAGAACGAGAACACAAGTTCAACAGAACAGAATGGCATACCATTAAACATAGGAAAGAGCTTGGATCGTTTTTAGAACGCAGCAATCATTACTGTAATCATTGTTCCCGTCGGGATATTTTAAGAAGTCACAAAAAACATAAATAACCAGGACTTAAATTTCCATCCAAAAAAAAAAAAAAAAATTCCAAAACCAATCAAAATTTACAATATTCGAAAATCCTCCCACACATACCGACAATGACTAAAATATGAAAGCAAAATTTCTGAATTTCTAATAGCTAAATTTGAAGATCATTTCTGAAATGGAGAGATAGACACTGAATTCAAAAGAAGTAACACTTTGGTCAATATTAGCATCATGCAGTTGGCAGTCGGAAGTAGGGCGCAAATTCATTTTTTTTTTATGATCAATCAATCTGACAGAGATCGGAGGTAGGAATAAAAGGTAGAATCGAGGCGATTAAACCAAGAAAAAATGGACTGAGAACACTTCTATTACTCTTACTCATATATGACCAGTTACCCCAATGCATGGGGTAAGTGGTCATTTTTCGCTGTTTGATCAAGTCCTTGATCTCCAACAAGCCCGTGATAGGAAATGAAAAAAATGCCTACAAATATGAAGAAAGGTCTACAAAGAATTTATTGGAACGCAGGTGGAAAATATCATCTATGTCCCAGCGAGCAAAAACGTGTGTATACGCTTAATGTGTCCACTTACCCCATTCTCCCCTATAGACAACCGATTACGAGCGACCAAACAGGTCACTTTTGAAAATCAGATCATTTCGTCTTTTTTTTTATTTAGTTCTTTGAGTCTCTCTTTTGCTTTTTTTCTGGACTTAATTATGCATGACATAACATCTTAACTTCATGTTTTAAAATATATACTTATGTATTGTGCATCAATGTGCCAATATGAAGTAAACGCCAATTAGAGAGCAACCTAGCAACATAAATAACCAAGGATATGTTCTTGGTTTGACTGTAAGCCAGATATACACGAGTTTCCTTCAACGAGACAGCATCTCAACGACAAACATATCTTTTAAAGAACTATGTCTTCAGCTACCGTTTGTTTTTTTCTTCAATTCTGTTTAAAACCTCTTGCTATATTCAATGTGAATAACAAAAAAACAAAAAACTCTCTATCAAACGAAAACTGTATAAAGTGAGAAAAAAGCTTTTGTCATTAGTACAAATTATTGCTTCATTACTTATTTCAGGGTTCGAACCCTAAACGTGGTAGCTTGGTTCGACTCCAAAACTATGTTTGTCAGTTTCCCAGCCGAAGGTCAGTGACTCTGTCCGGGCGCTCCAGCTTTCTTCATCATAAGCTGGACGCTATGAAATAGCAAAAAAATGATTAAAGTGGCGTTAAAGACCAACAATGAATAAATCAATCATTGCATATTTCAGACGTTTCACACACAGATCTTATTTTTGTTAAACAAGGCGATATTTATTTGAAATTGAATTTGACAATAGGAATTTTCCAGCATCGTATAATGATGAATCCGGATATGACTGTAATATGTGCCGCTGGACATTACTCTTCATCTTTGTAACATGGTAATACCTAAAAGAATCGAAGAATTTAAAGGAAATATCATTTTCAACATTTGTAAACTATTTTAGAGGAAAGCTAAAAATTTAGAAGATATCTTCTTAGGATTGAAAGGACAAAGCAACATAGAAGGGACCTATATTTGAAGGTTGGTGTGTCCATCATATTACATATGTGGCAACCTTTTGTTAAAGTCTTGTACCAATTTAAACTTTTACAAGTTATACAAGTTCCATTACTAACTTAACGTCGACACCCTATAATGTAAAATATCTATTTTGAATAGAAAAGGGTGTTTTCTTTGTTCGACGATTGCAAAATTTCTGAAAATGAATCGAACGGTCTTTATTCGAATGCAGCATTCCGTATCTTAGTAAACATGTCGTTGACAAGCAATACTCTGAACCACTGACAGTGTCGGTAAAGATTCCATGTGCAAAAATGACAAAACAGGGGTACAGAGTATTGTCCCTGCTAACCTGAAGTGTGCACGTTTCAGCTCTGGGGTTCCCAGTGAAGACATTTTTTTTCAGTTAAAACATTTGAGGTACACAGTCTACAAAATGAAACAAAAGTTGAAAAGATGATGCTCGTCTTGGCGTATACTCAAGAATTTACTAATTCGGAACTGCTTAAATATGAAATGAAGTCACAAAACAAATGCGAATAGTCGCTGCTTGAATAGGCAGAGTTGACCTTCATACAATTTACACATAGTCCCACAATGCCCAGATGATCTAAAGCATAATAATAAAATATCATAAAGTTCACTATAAAAGAAATAACATAACTAATACTTTAAGCCATAGATTTTTATATGTAAAAAACACAGTACTAAAAGTTTACATACATAAAAAATGACAGGAACTATATTTATAGACAACCGATTACGAGCGACCAAACAGGTCACTTTTGAAAATCAGATCATTTCGTCTTTTTTTTTATTTAGTTCTTTGAGTCTCTCTTTTGCTTTTTTTCTGGACTTAATTATGCATGACATAACATCTTAACTTCATGTTTTAAAATATATACTTATGTATTGTGCATCAATGTGCCAATATGAAGTAAACGCCAATTAGACAGCAACCTAGCAACATACATAACCAAGGATATGTTCTTGGTTTGACTGTAAGCCAGATATACACGAGTTTCCTTCAACGAGACAGCATCTCAACGACAAACATATCTTTTAAAGAACTATGCCTTCAGCTACCGTTTGTTTTTTTCTTCAATTCTGTTTAAAACCTCTTGCTATATTCAATGTGAATAACAAAAAAACAAAAAACTCTCTATCAAACGAAAACTGCATAAAGTGAGAAAAAAGCTTCTGTCATTAGTACAAATTATTGCTTCATTACTTATTTCAGGGTTCGAACCCTAAACGTGGTAGCTTGGTTCGACTCCAAAACTATGTTTGTCAGTTTCCCAGCCGAAGGTCAGTGGCTCTGTCCGGGCGCTCCAGCTTTCTTCATCATAAGCTGGACGCCATGAAATAGCAAAAAAAAAAATGATTAAAGTGGCGTTAAAGACCAACAATGAATAAATCAATCATTGTATATTTCAGACGTTTCACACACAGATCTTATTTTTGTTAAACAAGGCGGTATTTATTTGAAATTGAATTTGACAATAGGAATTTTCCTGCATCGTATAATGATGAATCCGGATATGACTGTAATATGTGGCGCTGGACATTACTCTTCGTCTTTGTAACATGGTAATACCTAAAAGAATCGAGGAATTTAAAGGAAATATTATTTTCAACATTTGTAAACTATTTTAGAGGAAAGCTAAAAATTTAGAAGATATCTTTTTAGGATTGAAAGGACAAAGCAACATATAAGGGACCTATATTTGAAGGTTGGTGTGTCCATCATATTACATATGTGGCAACCTTTTGTTAAAGTCTTGTACCAATTTAAACTTTTACAAGTTATACAAGTTCCATTACTAACTTAACGTCGACACCTTATAATGTAAAATATCTATTTTGAATAGAAAAGGGTGTTTTCTATGTTCGACGATTGCAAAATTTCTGAAAATGAATCGAACGGTCTTTATTCGAATGCAGCATTCCGTATCTTAGTAAACATGTCGTTGACAAGCAATACTCTGAACCACTGACAGTGTCGGTAAAGATTCCATGTGCAAAAATGACAAAACAGGGGTACAGAGTAATGTCCCTGCTAACCTGAAGTGTTCACGTTTCAGCTCTGGGGTTCCCAGTGAAGACATTTTTTTTCAGTTAAAACATTTGAGGTACACAGTCTACAAAATGAAACAAAAGTTGAAAAGATAATGCTCGTCTTGGCGTATACTCAAGAATTTACTAATTCGGAACTGCTTAAATATGAAATGAAGTCACAAAACAAATGCGAATAGTCGCTGCTTGAATAGGCAGAGTTGCCCTTCATACAATTTACACATAGTCCCACAATGCCCAGATGATCTAAAGCATAATAAAAAAGTATCATAAAGTTCACTATAAAAGAAATAACATAACTAATACTTTAAGCCATAGATTTTTATATGTAAAAAACACAGTACTAAAAGTTTACATACATAAAAAATGAGAGGAACTATATTTATAGACAACCGATTACGAGCGACCAAACAGGTCACTTTTGAAAATCAGATCATTTCGTCTTTTTTTTTATTTAGTTCTTTGAGTCTCTCTTTTGCTTTTTTTCTGGACTTAATTATGCATGACATAACATCTTAACTTCATGTTTTAAAATATATACTTATGTATTGTGCATCAATGTGCCAATATGAAGTAAACGCCAATTAGACAGCAACCTAGCAACATACATAACCAAGGATATGTTCTTGGTTTGACTGTAAGCCAGATATACACGAGTTTCCTTCAACGAGACAGCATCTCAACGACAAACATATCTTTTAAAGAACTATGCCTTCAGCTACCGTTTGTTTTTTTCTTCAATTCTGTTTAAAACCTCTTGCTATATTCAATGTGAATAACAAAAAAACAAAAAACTCTCTATCAAACGAAAACTGCATAAAGTGAGAAAAAAGCTTCTGTCAT